GGGAAAGAGGGTTATTAAAGAACCTACACAGCAACCCAGGAAACATACCACTTAGCCTTGAGTTCAGGGATTTGTAAGGCTAATGGTTTCCCAAAAAATCCCTGTGAATATGACTGCACACAAAGAAGTGGGGGAAAGTAGAGGGGTGGGAGAGACAGGGAGCAGATACAAGCCGCAGCTGAAGAATGCTGGCTTTGCAATACTAAGTAGCTGAACAAAGCTATCTGTCTTACTGCGCCCTCCTGTTCCTCCCACCCACTTTGTATTTGTTAATAGCACTGAAATATCATGCTATAGAAAACAGTTTCTGCAGAAGAAACATCTGGCTCCTTCAGGCTCCAGCAGTGCCTTTAAGATTTTCAAAGTATTCTTCATCATATGTTGTTCTTTTAATTATTTGTAAGTGACTTCTGAAAACAGGCTGGTGGTAAACTCTAAGTGGAATCCAGGGTATGTTTTTCTGTCTGTCTTCTGATTATGTCTCTTGATACTAATCTTATTTTTAGGACGGTGTGAAAAAGAATGGACTGCAATTCATGCAGGCCACTTTATTCCACATCACAGCAGGGCACTGAATTTTGAAGCTAAACTTGTAAACTTAGCAACAGAAGCATGACCCATAAAATTCACTGAACCTCTTACAGCACATTAAGAGCTACAGTCATACATCGAGCTACTTCAAAGCCAGATTTCTTTGAGCAGCTGTTGTGTAGCCTTGGGTACCATTGCTGCTCACTACACGTACAGCCCCTGTTCCGTGGGAGGCAGTGTGTTGTCCTTCAGCCCTGCAGCTAACGTGCTGGCTGGCTGAGCTGTGCTTGTGGCTAGGCAGGTGCTAGGTGGGTCCCGGAGCAGGTTGTGTTCTTTTTGGGTGTTCCAGAAAGGCAGGGGGGTAAGTGCGGTAGGAGCAGGAGCCTGGGGTAAAGGGTAAGGCCTCTTTGGCAGAAAATACAGGTTGTAGGTGAATGACAAAGGGACAAAATAAACCTATACAAAGCTATCAAGTAAGATTCATATTATAATAGAGATTTTCTCCCTCTTTTGCCGTTTTGTAGGAAGGAGGCTGGCTAGCCTCCACAAACTTTATGTGAATGTATATATTTCCGTTTTTTCTTAGTACTGCTTTTCTTGTATCTTGCAAATAGGTGCACTGCTATGAAGAAATAACTTGCTCACTCTTTTAGCCAGCTGCAACCTGCATGTATATTTTTCAGCCACAATTCCTCTGTTTTATGTGTGTGTTTGTATTTCTGTCTCCATCTGGGGGCATGATCCAGTTACGTGTCAGCTGTGCTGGTTAAAGCAAGGAAAGATGCATTTTGTCAACCCTTCTTCGCAAAGTCTGCCTCCCATTACTTTCTTCTGTGACGTGCTCCTTGGCCGTGTTTAAAGCCTGTCATCCTGCACTGATGTATTTTTTTCTTTCTGCACACTAGTACTTGGTCATCAACAGCACTACCTCTCACAGTATTTTTTAACATCCTTAAAAGTTGTGACATAGAGATGGTGTACCTTGAGGGCTATGTCTAGCTTCGAAAACTAATAAACTCTGTTTGGATGGAGTCAGGCTGTACTTCAGTGAAAAGTTCCTCAGCCATGCAGATGAGAATTTCATGGTCACAAGCTAAACCAGAAACTTCTCGATTTGATTTTTGATGTCTGTTAGCCTAACTTAATGTGATTGCATTTGAGGACCAAGCTGTATTTAGGCAAGACTTTTTCCTGTTTCAGAACCTGCACTTTCTGCGTAAGTATCTTCTCTTAAATGAAGCTGCCATATAAAAAGGGGCTGCACTAAAGATACGCATCTGAGAAAAAAATGAATACACTAAAATATTATTGTGGTAGGGGCTGAGTAAGACTCGAAAAATTTATTCATTTGAACAATTATTGTAATACATAGAACTCCTAAAGAAGGTTCCTTACTCTATTTTTTGTTAGTTTTACTTAATTTGAATGCCTCTGGAAGTAAGCCTGTGTGTGTTTTCCTGTCATTCTGAAGAAGAATGTGACAATGAATTACTTATCTCCTCTACAGTCCTTTTGTCCTTCCTCAGAAGTGTGATTTTTATACATATTTATGTATATGTACACACATAGTGATAGCCTTTCAGTGAAAGCCTTTTAGATTATGTTCTTTGCTGTGCAAACTGAAGTAAACAAATACCAGATTAGCTTCTGCATCTTTCCCACATGCTTGATTTATTAATTCTCCTGTAGGTACTCACTGAAAACAACAAATGAGAGATTCCAATCCTAGAGGAGGAGAGATGTTTAGCTCTGTTGTTCTATAGGTACAGTTCTAAACTAAGTACTTTAACTGCTATACCCAGACTAAACCAGGATTAATGTTGGTGAATTGTAGAAATACTTGTGAACATAAAGTTCATAGTCCTATAGGTTGATGTAATGCTGCAACTGCTAGATGTGGGAGCTGCTTCAGTGCAATGGAGGTTTCTTTCTTAAGAAAAGGCACAAATGTAAAATTCTAATGTATTTGAGGTTTTAAATCCCTTTGTTAGTAGGTATATTGTTGTATTTTATTCCTTTGTTCTTCATGTTTCCCAAATACTGGCTTTCTTTGGGGTGTTTTGCATCACCGCATATCTCCCAGTTGTTTGGGTTGTTTGCTCTTGCTATATAATGGTATTACAAGTTTCATAGCACTATTTCCTGTGAGATTTGATTGATGGTGATAAATGTGGGCAGTCACTTTTCCCCCTACCCCATTCTCCATATGTCTAACAAAATTATAGCAATAACTAGTTTTGTGTGTTTAAACAAAGAGTACCGTTTTGCATTCATTTGGCTATTTTTCCAACCTTTTTGAAATGTGTTGCTGCTTTTTCTTCATTTTTTCTTCTGGTATTTTGCCTCTTAGTCCAAGCTATAAAAGAACCAAAGATTGGACTTGAAAGGTTTTGCCACTGAGAATGTGGGTGGAACTTTTAAAACTTGTGAAGATATGATACATGATCTACAAGAAGTTCTCCTTATTCACTTGATGTGTATGACATGACAAAAGAATGTCTCAACTCCAAAGTCAATTTTTTTTTTCAAAATGCCTTGAAACCGTGTTAATTCACTGTAAGGGAACATAAGGAAACTTTTTTTTACTGTGAGGGTGACTGAGCAGTGGAATAGGTTGCCCAGGGAGGTTGTGGAGTCTCCCTCCTTCGAGATACTTCAAAGCCGTCTGGACACGGCCCTGGGCAACTGGCTGTAGGTGGCCCAGTTTGAACAGGGCGTTGGACCAGATACCTTCCGAGGTCCCTTCTGTGATTCTATGATTCTATGAAGTACTGTAAGTTTTCTTTTATTGATATATAGCTGAATATCTGCTTTGAAATTGCAAATTAAACCACAACTTGATTAAGAAATACAGGAGTATTATTAAAAGTTCTCTTTTCTTTGTGCAGAAACGCGAACAGATAGAACAAAGAAACTGTTTAGACACTACACAGTTGGATCCTATGACAGCTTTGATGCTTCAAGGTAAGAATTTTTCTTTTTGATTTCAATCTGTTTACAAAACCTTTCTGGGTTTTATTTAATTGTTACTTAGACTTTTAAGGGGAAGAAGGAAGCAAATTACTAACAGAACTTCCTGATATCATTCTACATCTAAACTATTTTTTATCACAGCTTACTTTTTTCATATGGGATGGGTCTACAAAAGTATTGAGTAATGAAGTAGTGAGTGTCACTGTTTTGTTTTCATGAGTGGTGAGAGATCAGCATTTCACAGAAGCAGTATGTACCAGCTGCTTCTACAGTCAAGGACCACTTAAGTTGCTGGATACTTCACAAGATCAGGCCTTCTGTATCTGTTCATAGAATCATACTTGCTGACAGGAAAACCAAAATAAAATTTTGTGATTTGTTGTTCTGAATGGTATTTTAGATCCTAAGTAGAAATTAGGCTGCTAGAAATAAGAAATTGAAAAGTTAGAAAATTTATTCTTTATTTGCAGTTTTTGCTGAGTATTCACAATTTTCAAGCAGGTTCTTCTCCCACATGCATATACATTGGACATACACCCAATGTCTGGTAGAAAGAATGATTTTTAAAGCGCAGAACCTCGGTTAGCTGTTGGTGTCTTCTTGAGAAAATTGTGGTGGCATACTGGAATTGTTACGCTTTTCTCCTGACTGTTTAATTACAGCTTGTTTTTTTTTTAGTTTTCAAGAAAAACACCTTTTTTCTAGGAAAAGAATTCTGAAACGTGTACAGTAATGATGGCAGAATTTCATGCAGCATGCAATTTTTTTAAAAAGGAAAGAAAATGTGGCAACTGTTGTTTTTATTTATGTGATCTTAATCCTTGTTCTGAGGGTCATGCATAGTTTCTATGCCAGATAAACAATTTGTGAGAGGATGGAGTTCAAGGCCGCTGAAGTCGTTTGGATAACTAAGATGTCTTTTTGTGTTCCTGACGGTCAGTGTGCGGAGCTCTGAAGGGCCGGGGTCCTGCTGGTTTTCTGCTCCATACAGCCTATACAATTTGAAAAATATGTAAATCTGTAGTCCCTTGAGCTGTGATTTGAAAGAATGTTGCAATGTTGGATGAAGAGGGAAGGTTTGGTCATACTGTGGGAAGCCCAGGCTTAGGGATTGGCTACAATCATCCCATCTTGGAGGCTCTGATCTTCCTGTGACTGTGTACGGTGTGCTGTAGGGCACCAACTCTTGCTGCTGTGACTTAGTAATAGAGAAACCCCATTTCAGCGTCTTGCGTATTCCCGTGCCACGATCAGCCAAGTTACCAAAGCTTTGCACTGCTGGACAACAATGTGATTGACCGGGTAGTCTAATAATGATAAAGTCGTCAAGAGAAGCTGTTAGTCTGTACTATGAAAAACGTAACTGTTCTGCAGAGCAAGCTAACTGGTTGCTAGTTACATTTCCAGTGAGCAGAGTTGGCGGTTTGCAATATTCTTTGAGTGATCATCATTCTATAAAATTCATAGCCTTGTCTCTGTATTTCAGTGTTAATGGATAGGATTGTTTCTGTAAAACTAAAAGCTGTGGCCACAGCATGTTGCCTCAGAGATACCGAATAGCCTCACTTGGAAACCTACTCCTACTTTGTAACAAAATATTTTTTTCATTGGAAAATGTCATTTCTATCAAAACCCCCTTTTTTTTTTTTTTTTTTTCCTCCTTTGGAGGTGGGTGAGCAATTGATTCTAAAGCATTTGGATTTTTTCTTGTCCTTTTCCCAAGAAAATTCAGGTCCGTTATTGGGAGGGAGCAATGCCATCTGCCTTTCTGAAGTAAGCAGTGCCCTATTCTTTACAGAGGTTCTTTTGAAAGCAGGAGGCCAAAAGCCATATTCAGACCAGCGGCTCAAACCTCGGTGTTCAAGTATGTCTTCTAACCAATGAGCCGTTGGGCATGAATGGATTATACTCTCTGCTTTTGGAAAGTCCTGGAAAGTCTGTGAGGTGTTTGGTGGGAGGCAGGGGAGGTTGTTGGTTTATTTTTTGATTGGTGGGGTTTTTTTTTTCCTCTTAAGGTATTGGGCTTGTGCAGTGCAAAGGCAAAGCTCTCAAAAATTTCACATTACCTGATTCAAGACTACAGCTGAGCAGGAGAGTTTATCAGATAAAATGATACATTTTGTATAGCCTTATTAGTGCGAAATTAGGCATGAAGTATGTCTGCAATTGTTCCCGATTCTGGCATTGCTATCTATTAATTGACTGAGCAGTAAGAGGGAAGGCAACAGAGTCCTCCTGGCAGCTTCTGAGTAAAGCAAAGTTTTGAAGAAAACTCAAGATAGTTTCCACAGAGAATCTGAAACTTTGAAAAGTAATAGTGCAAATTGAGAAGGAATGTCCACAAAGGAAAGGTTGGAGAGGGTAGAATTAATGGGAAATTCCAAGAAATACAGTGGAAAGGTACCCTTGCTTAACACACCTGTAAGTAGAGAAAAGTAATTTTAGAATTTTTGTAAAATAACACTAGGAAAACAAAAAAAAAATCTTTTTGGTGTCTGAGTTTCCAAACCTATTTAGTTGCTGGAAAAGAAAAAAACTCGTTTCTCTGAGGCACATAAAATAACTTACTGTAATGACGTGTTTACAGAGAACATAGATGATGATGAAAGGTAAATTTCCTTTTTCATCCTTTACAAACATGACCTATAGTGGAACTCTCTTCTGATACTTTTTTCCTAAACAAAATAATTCTAGGACTTGCTGTCTCAAAACTTCAATAGCACACAAAGTTGCATTTTAGATACTTGACTGAGGCTGCAAATCAGCTTTTGTACATCTAAGTGGTAATTTTATTGGTGCTTACGTATTGCTGCTAAAGAAAAAGAATTCACATTTAAGAATCTGGCTGGAGATTAGTATGTCTTGTTAGTATGTACAGATTGAATTCCTAGCATGGGCTTCTTCAGAGAGGGAAACTTGAGAGAGGCAAACAAGATGTCAAACTAATAGCAATTCTCAATATTTCCAAATTTTTACTGCTTTGATTACTTTCTCTGTTGTCATTTCCTATCAAAGTAGGGGAAAAATATAGTAAAACAGATTTAACTGCTTGCAGCGAAGTTTTATTAAACATTTGTCAGAAGGCAATTGTGCCTATGTACTCAGAAGAGCTTTGAAACCAAAGCATTAACAAAGACAATCCAGTTCCTTTCTGGAGATGATGTGGGGGAGTGAGGGGAAGTGTCTGCTCCCTTCTCTTTTTCCTTCCCCCTCTCAAAGGGCAAAAATTGCTGAGTAGGAACACTCTGTTCAGAAATCTATATTAATGGGCGTATTCACATGCAGGAAAATACATTGTACATGGCATTTTTCATCTTTAGGAAAATGTGCAGCTTGCGTAATGGAGGCTCATTAAATCCTATTTCAGCTTTGCATAAGAGATCAGTTATCCGTATATTAATATTTCAGGAAAATGGGTACTATACTTACCAATATGTAGAAAGGCTGTGAGATTTATTTGCCAGTACAAATAGTCATTAAATATCATACAAATATAATATTTGAAACTACCAGGTCTCATGTATTATCTGCTTTAAATGCTGATGGGATACATTAATTCTGTTATGCAAAAATGATGTTGTCTCTTGCAGCTGTCACATGCTGCTACTGCTGACATTCCTTTACATGGATTCCTTTACTATTTTATTAAAAACTTTTAAGAACTAATTACTTTAAATCATTTTCCTTTAATCTGATGCAGATGGACAAATGTTGAAAGGAAGGATAGGCTTTCTTGCAAGACCCTAGGAAATGCCATGGCCCAAGGCTGTACTTGCTTGACATGCCTTAGAGCCACAGAGAGGAGCAGAAAGCAGGCGTGGAAAAATCATAGAATGGGTTGGGTTGTAAGGGCCGTCTTTAAAGGCCATCTAGTCCAACCCCCCTGCAGTGAGCAGGGACATCTTCCACTAGAGCAGGTTGCTGAGAGCCCCGTCCAACCTGACCTGGCATGTCTCCGGGGATGGGGCATCTACGACCTCTCTGGCCAGCCTGTGCCCCAGTGTTTCACCACTCTCATCATAAAACATTTCTTCCTTATATCTATTCTGAATCTACTCTCTTTTAGTTTAAAACCATTACTCTTTGTCCTAAAGACCAGATACACCGACAAAGTTGCAAGGTTTTGTGTCTTCCCTGTATTTGTGGTCAGCAGTGGTCAAGATAATCACGGGGCATTGTTTTTGAGACCTGAGGAGGGGACAGATCGCATTGAGTTCATTAGGAAAAATGTTAATTTGGGTCTGTCTTGTCTAGGCTGGATGGGCACTACTGTGACCAGCAAAGCAAAAGCTTCCAAAGTATTATAAATATTCTTCAGAAGTCTAGTTAAAGTTCAGGACTACCTTTAAGTCAAACAAAATTATTTGTAGGTCTTAAATCAGTTATTTCATGGAGTCCTCTTTCATCAAGGTCAAATTTCAGTTTAATAACAAATTATTGCTAAGGCATAGAATAGATGTTGGAATTTAAAAAAAATCTTTGTTTTTTAAAAAATAAAAATATGGTAAACCTTTAGAAATAATTTTTTTTATCTGCTTTTTAACTGAAGTATTTATTAATTCTGTAAACATAGAACTGTGAACTGTTCAGTCAGGAAAATCAGAGAAGACAAAATTAAGTAATCAAATTAAAATATGTGAAATTAATGAGTTGTTTAATTTCAAATGTAAAATGTTAGCAGCTTTTTAATGTGATGTGACTGATGATAAAGTGGTAGTCTAGTTTTCATGCTCTGGAGACATAAATAATATGAGCAATTTTGGTACAATGTAAAGATTATAAACTTGATTTGGTGGAAAACATGATCCAGTTGCCTTCATGGATTTGGAAAGTTTAAAGCACAACATTGGAAACTTTTACTACTGCATTAGTTGCATCATCTCCCTCCCACCCCCAAGAGAATAGTGAAAAAGCAAAAGTCAATAGTATAATTGAATGCCAACTTCAATGCAATTATGAAGTAAGCGATATAAATCTAAGGTTTCCTGCCT